CCCGATGCTAATTGCTTTTGTTGCTCTACTTTGCAGATTCTATAATTTTCAACATCTCTTTTTGAGCATCAGCCATGGAACTGGGCACAGTTTTTCAGTGTCACTCTTTAGTGCATGCTTCATGCTACCCCAGTCATTATTTCCATTCACTCTCATATCTTTGAACCCAGAAGCCATATTAGCCCTTCTAATAACAGCAGAAGCTCTGAATGTGATGCTTAGCTGTGAGGCTGTGTTGACCTCATCTCTTTTGCTTTCCTTGATTCAGAGGTCACAGTCCTTTGATCTGCAAACCTTACCTCTCCCTTGTTAATGAATATATAAATCTGCATTCAGACATGTTAAGATTGTTTTGGTTGGAATGAGCACAGTTTGATAAGTGTAATTGTGTTAACTCCGTGATTTGCCTTCTGGTTTTGTTTCTCATGTACCTAAACCATGTAATCTCTTAATTTTGCCATAAAGGATTTGCTTCTTTCCGGGTAGCTAATAAAACACTTAGGTAATGTAGAGCATAATTCCAGTAATTTTGAACTGCAAAAGAAGCATTACAGTTGCGTTGTGATATTACTAATGACAACTTTTCTGAGATCTCAACTAATTTTACATATTTGTCCTATATGTTTTGATGTCCCAATGATGTGATATCTGTTGCTTATGTCACATCTTTAAGCCTTCAGCTGCTGAAAAAGTCTTCAGTGTGATGCAAAACCAATAGATTTCACCATCCTTACTCTTACCCCTTTTGAATTTATAAAGATGAAATTGAGGAACTTTCTGCACTGTTTTGAGATGCCCATAGACCCCCTGAGCAAGCTCTTTATGTTTGATTGTGGATATTGCCTAGTCCCTTGTCTTATGTGTTCTCTGAAGCTTCTGTTCTGTGTCTCTTCCAGCAGGAGCAAGTACACATCAAAAGGCATTTCATCCCGGACACTATTTGCACAGGAGCCTGAGCCCCAAGAAGTCCCTTTCACTAGCAACGCTTGTGCTGCTCAGGTGGGCTAAGAACTCATTTGGACTGAGGGTTTTGTTTTAACCTCCATTTCTTTTTCCAAAGTGTTGTGCTGCTTGTTTGAGAAGGAGTTTCTTGTGTAGAGCACCGCAGTGCAGTTGGCTTGGTGCTCTGAGATGAGAGATGTCTGCCTGGGATATATGTGCTTTAGGGTTTAGGTTGAAATGTTACGGCCTCAAATTTATTGTAATAATCTGGCATGAAAATGTATTTACTTTCTAATTGTCCTGGGTATTGTCTGATTCGATAGTGATTTTTATGCGTAGTTCTGTATCTCCTGGACCTGTAGTGTAAAAGGGCATTAAGCAACTTGTGGGTGTGAATCATCTCCAAGTTAGTTATCAAAACATAGTATCTCAATTGCTCAGAGTAACACTTTCTACTTCACTTTTGCAATGTTTTGCTTGTTGCCACTGTTCAAATTTAAATGCCTATTTGCTTTTCCCAGTGGTTGTAATTAGTTATTCTCTTTTAATTTTGATCCTGATGCCTGTAAAATGAGTAAATGTAAACAGCATTCTTGAAACTAAACTCTTAATGCTATTTTCTCCTAGTGATAATTTGAAGAGGCAGACTGTGTTTTCTGTTGTCTGTGGCTTAATTAATCTACTTGAATTATACTTGAACAGGAACTCTGATATCAGAAGAGGGTTTAGCAACCTTGGAAGTTAGGAGCTTATGAATGAGGCAGCGCTGAAGAGTTATTTTATGTTGTTACTTAGCTTGTTGGAAAAGGAAGATATTTTTAAACTCGTGGCCAAAAATGGCTATATACTTGCCTCCTTTCCCTCCCTCTAGAGACTTTTCTGTTTTCTCAGATCTTTCATGTGCAATAACTTGGCATGGATAGACAGGTCTCTGTCCAGACTGCCATCTATGCAATCCACTGTAAGCAGTGGGGTGCTGTAGGGCTCTTGACTGGGGACTTCAGCATGGTGGTTTTGTTGCTGTCTTTAGCAAGTAATTTAATTTCTCTGTGATTTTGTGGTATGTTTTGTTTGGTTTGGGGGGGG